TCATTTTAGTTCCCACAAAATAATAGGTGCGTCAGGGCAATTCTTTTGTAATTCAGGATACCACTTAGCTTCTACGTTTTCATAAGAGGCTTGGTTGGTAACAGCATAACAAACAATAAAACAATTTGTTCCAGGATAGGAGAGAGGACGCAACTTGTCATAGTCTTTGATTGTTAGTTAATATAATTATTAAAAACATTACCTTCTTGTCCAGCAGTATCCTTTAAATCCAGTTAGTATTGAAGTTCGATTTACTTACCCAAAGTCCTATGCTCACTTCCTTGTCATTAATTTCAACCATGGTGTTATAATTATCAAATACGGTTGGTACTATTGAATTTATTGTTAAAAAATTGTTAATAAGTTACTTACCATATTCTTGTGGGAATTCATTCTTTGCGTAGGCATAAAGTAAACATGTTTTACCAACAGCACCATCACCAACAGTTACGATTTTTAAAATCTCCTCGTCAGACATTATGATGTTTAAATATTTTTTTTGACTGGTCAAGTCAACCATCAGTCTGGCACTTGGAACTGTTTTACAGCAAGCAATTAAGGAATCTTCCTTTATTAAAAATAAAAAAATGTCGGCAATGTTGTTTTCCTCGATTCAAGATTTTAGAGAACAAACTAAGAGCAGGTACGAGAAAATATCATCAACATCAGAAAAATTCCAAAGAGCAATCAGTAGGAAGGAAGAAATTGAAGGTCATTTGTCCCAGCTTATGTTTGATCTTGATGAATTAATTTTAAAATCCATCCTAAACCCCAAGGCAACCCTACTGATCCAAACCTATAAAGAAAAGGCTGTAGAGGAAGGAGAAAAAGAATTAATCAAATCTCTTGGTGTTATTGAATCTCAAAAATTAAGCCTTGGAGGAAAACCAACAGATGTTCTTAACAACTGGTTTTTGGACCACTTAGCACACCCCTTCCCAACAAGTTCTGAAAAGAAAATGTTGATGGAACAGACTGGTTTAACAAAAAATCAAATAACCAATTGGTTTATCAATACAAGAGGAAGGGCTTGGAAAAAAACTGTAGGTGATACAGTTCCAAAGGAATGTATTTTCCAACAAGGAGAAATAATCAAGGAATAAATCAGGAAATTACCAAAAAAAACCAAAAAAAAATGTTAGATTTGTTGTTGGCACTTCTGGTAATCGGTTTTAAGATTCACTCAGGTTTTTGCTCTCTTTACGTTGTGGAGATGGGCTCAACAACGTTTAACAGTACAGGTTATTCTTTCATGGAGGTTTTCAACAATAACCACAGATCTGTTTCAGATGAGTTATTTCTTTCTGGATGTTCACTCCAATCTTTTTCTTTCAATATAGGACCGTTTTCCTATTATAGATTTAATTTCTACTATAAAGCATCAGTTAGAAATTGCCAGGTTACTTTTTATGAACAAGTGATAAATCTAGATCCAACATCATATGATATGTTTACTTCAACCCATCACGATTATTCAAAAGCTTCCAGACTTCCATATAATTGTCCAACTGACACCATTCTTATTAATTCATTTTGTAAACCCAATTGCTCAGGAGATCTTATTTTCAATTGTTTGAAACAAGTTTGTGAGACAAAGAGTAATTGTGGAACAGACGAGTACATTGATGAGTCAAACTCTTGCAAATATTCAGAAATTCATTCAGAAGACGATGTAAAATTTCTCCAAATGGATTGTGGAGAAGGATATCAAGGTGAGAGTGTTTGCTTTTGTGAAGATGGATGGTTTTCATTGATAAAAACAGTAGTCAATCCTCAATCTTGCAGCATTCAGGGAAAGGATCTTCCATTAGCTTTCCAAAACATTCAAGACGATTTTACCAGTTATTATTCCCTTCTTGGAACCGTAATTTGTACCTTAGTTCTCTTCATTTTATCATTTCTCACTCCATTTTGTTGTCATGCGAGAGTTATTGCTCGTGGTATGGACACAAATCAACTAAACAACAAAAGAATAATTTGGTTACAAGGGAT